GTAACACTCCCATTTGATTGACACACTGGAATGACTAATTATACATGTTTATAGCTTTTTAGATATCTCTACAATCATTTTCTAGGATGCGGAACTAGAGAAAAACGGATCAGAAAAATTCATCCTCGGTGCAAATAATGTTTGCCTTCTAGATAACAAAAAAATATAAATTTTGTTAAAGGTACCATTTCGTATGCAGAAATGAAATACGTACTTCTTACAATGAATCCACAATTCATTTTATTTTAATTTATTTCTTATTTTATCAATGTTAAAACATCGAACCGGGGGAGAAAACCGCAACAAACACATCACTAGCAATCTTTATGATCGATTGCTAACGTTACTACGATGGAAATACCGTTACTTAAGAATACTTACGAGATATCTAAAAATATTTAATAAATATCATCGGAACTAAAGTTTAGAGTGGGATGGCCATAGCTTATTTCTCTTTTTCGAACGGATTTTTCGACAAAATGGTGTGTGTTTACTACAGATGCGATCTAAATTTATTTATCTTTCTATATAAACCGATGGGTTTGATAAAGAGTCACAATTTGTTTATATTTTGTTAAAAATACTTTTTTTCTTTTTGATTCTAAATTCGGCCTACGAGTTTCAATTTCATACAATCACACAGGAACGTCATTGTAGTACGTCAAAATGGATTCGGGTTTAAATACTCATACTTTGAACTTTTTAGGTGAAAGTTGATAGAATCCACAAATGGCCGCTATTACGGTTATTTGCTGTCTAAGTTTTGATGGCACTAATCTCAAAAACTATAAAGATTTCGTGCAGGATATTGTAATCACATGTACACTGCAGTGTCAGTGCCCAGTGATTCTAATTTTGCTCACGAAATCTTTACGGTTTCTGAGATTCGTGCTATCAAAAATTCGAAGTGGCATGGACAAATAATCATAATAGGCGCCATTTGTGGATTATATCAACTAACTTTCACCTCAAAGACTTTATGTTGTAACTTTTGAACTAAAGTATCATACCAAACGTATAATTAAATCGTCTGCCCTAAAGTTGTACATGTGTCAGCTAATTTTGAAATGCAATGAAATGACCTTTAAAATGTCAAAATGAACTTAAAAGGCAAAAAAGGCAAAATGGACAAAATACAAAAAAAAATCTTTTAAAATAATAGCTCTAATATTAAATGATTACTAAATGATTATCCAATTCAAAAGCCCCAAAAAATAAACAAACATACAATCGCCAAAACATGTCGATTAAATTGGTTTCAAACGGTTAAGATTATTTAACATAGTTAAAAAATCTGGATCTGAGCCCTTCTCAGTTCTCACTAATTAAAGTTGTGATGAAAATACTCAAATCTGTGAAGAATGTTATTTAATGTGTTGAGTGATGGAATTTGATCCCTTTCCTTTCTTGTCTCTGTATATGACATACATGATCAAATATGACGATATCTTGTTCTTTAATTCTCATGTGAGCTGATGCGTCGCATCATGGAATTTGCTGGCCACTTTCTCGGGGTACCCTGAACATATCTGGGTATGGCTGATGTGGTTTTGGCTACTCATTATGACCATCAATGAACTTGTTCTTGAATTACCATCTAATTTTATGTGAAGAAAGATGGGTTTTTGCTCAAGTCATTATTTTATTACTTTTTCCACACAAGATTTCGAAAAGAAGTTTGTTTTAAAGGGAGATACGGTCAAAATTTGGTCAAGGGAAAACGCGTGTAAATCGGCGAAATCGTTTATTTAAAAAATCAAATTAAATTTTCAAGTTCAATTAGTATAAAATTCAGGAAAAATATTCCGTTAGGCTTCCGCTTTTCCAAATCCGAATTGCCGGGCCTTACGCTTGACCCCTGCCATCAGATTTTGTACAGCCACCTTGTCCACCTTCTTCGCCGCAGAAAGCCAGTTTGCCTTGAACTGCTGCTCGCCCTTAGCAGTTTTTTTGGTCTTCTTTAGGTTCCGCTTGACAATAGCCCAGTATTTCTCAATTGGGCGGAGCTCTGGCGTGTTGGGAGGGTTCTTGTCCTTGGGAACCACCTGCACGTTGTTGGCGGCGTACCACTCCATGGCCTTTTTACCGTAATGGCAAGATGCCAAATCCGGCCAAAACAGTACGGAACAACCGTGTTTCTTCAGGAAAGGCAGCAGACCTTTATTCAAACACTCTTTCACGTAAATTTCTTGGTTGACAGTCCCGGAAGCTATGAAAATGCTGCTTTTCAAGCCACAGGTACAGTTCTTTGCGAACTTTGACAGTTTCATGTGCTTGAAAATATCTGCTACCTTTCCCCTTCCTTTTGCCGTATAAAACTCCTGTCCCGGAAGCTGCTTGTAGTCGGCTTTGACGTAGGTTTCGTCGTCCATTACCACGCAGTCAAACTTCGTCAGCATCGTCGTGTACAGCCTCCGGGATCGCGCTTTGGCCGTCGTATTTTGTTTATCATCGCGATTTGGAGTCACTACCTTCTTGTAAGTCGATAGTCCGGCTCGTTTTTTGGCTCGATGCACGGTTGTAGACGATACACCCAGCTTATTTGCGGCATCTCGGAGAGAGAGGTTAGGGTTTCGCTTGAAACTACCGGCAACTCTCTTTGTCGTCTCAGCGACTTCCGGTTTTCGATTTCCCCCCGATCCAGACTTCCTGGCTGTCGACAAACGTTCCCCAAACACTTTAATTACATTTGTAACGGTTGATTTGGCAACTTTTAGCGATTTTGCCAACTTTGCGTGCGAGTAGCTCGGATTTTCGCGATGCGCGAGCAAAATTTTGATACGCTGCTCTTCTTGCTTGGACGGCATTTTGACAACTGAAGAGTGAATTCCAAAATCAAAATAGGAGCAACATTCTACACACACACACCTTCAAAATGAGGGGTGTTCAGGTTTTTTAAATGCAAAATTGAAAGAAATACGTCAAGTTTATATTGACCAAATTTTGACCGTATCACCCTTTATAACTTAATTTTTTCTACAAACAGTATCGTCGTCGAATATCTATAATTTGATATGACACAGACTGCAAAAACAGTTGTCCAATGTAATTACATCAAGCAACGGGAGCCGTAGCATTAATTTGCAAGCTCCTTTATTGTCATCAAAATTCGAGAGCATGTTAAAAACAATTCCGCTCTCTGTTATACGCAACAGAGTGTTAATGTACTCTTCTAACTGATAATTTAAAAAGCAAATATATCGCTGAACCTTCAGCGTGGTGTAAACAGTGCGTTCGCCAAATACAAGGTTATACACTTTTCCTAAAATGGAAACAATATTTACAGTTATGCCATTTTTAGATAGGAGCAATGACTTTTTCGATTTCATTGCTGTTTTTCGAAATTTTCATCCAGTATATGACGGTTACGTTTCACAGAATATAGTTATTACTCATTGGCTAATTTCAATTGAACGAAAAATGCAATAAACGAATTGGCTGGATAACCTTGCTTCGAGGTTCCCGGAGCAATTCTTCAAATGAAGGTAGATCGTTTACATGGCCCACTGGGTGACCCAGCGGCTCCATCGAATGCATGACCTACTGGCAGGTTGATGGTTTCGCATTTGAATCACACTGTCGTCGTCGCACATCGTTCGCTCTCGGCTGGTGCGATTTGAAAGTTAATGGAATTATCCAATCAGCATTTTATGAATTGCCGTGTGCTTCAGCGGGGATTCACAGGCACACCCGTTACCGGGCACGCAAGTGATAGTAGACTGTCAGACAACAGCGAAAGTGAAGGTATGAAAATGATGATCACACCAGTACAGGCACCGTCTATAAACCGCAGAAATGTCAACCGAGGTTATGTATGACCTGCATACAGTTGCACAGCATCAAGTCGTTAATAAAAGCATCCTGTTTCACGGAAAGCTGTTTTATGCAGACTCTACTTTTTACCGATGTGATCCTCTGGAGGTGGATTATACAAACGCTAGATCCGGAAAAAGGATGTACTGTTGTGACAGATGTTGGCTGACCTTTCTCGTGACTGTACCGTCACTTGACATATGTGTGCTCTGATATTTCCATGTGGGGTTGTTCTTATCAGTTCATAACATCATCTCTTGACCTGAGCTTAAATACCTAAATTAATTTCAAATAGTTGATAAGTGAAACAGAAAAATAGATTAACGAAAGCTAACATTGAGTCATAGTTTTATAGTGTAGCGTGCAGGACATATGCATTACGATACCCAAGACGGCAATAAATGGTGAAATGACAGGCACTACCCTAATGTGATCGCACACGGTAACGCAATCAAATATTCTCAAAACAAATAAATTAAGCCTAATCGAGCTCGGAGACTGGTGTGCGTTCCATTTCTCCGGTAGGACCAGACAGCGCCTACAATAAAGTAATACACACTGTTAGTGTTGATTCAACAGTAACAGAACAACGTACACTTTCGAATCGTCATGAAAAATTCGTTCTGTTGCTTCTGAATGCAGTTTATTGCTCTGTTTTTCGGTTTCGTTACGAACGCTAAAACGAATTTGTAAATTGTTGCTAATAGGTATCTATTTGGCGCCGTGCTAAATTTAGAAAAGGCAATCATAATTACCGCACAGGAATATACATTCTTAGTTCAACCGCGTTGGAAGAACGTTTTTTTGCGAATCGGGAAAGTGCTCTCGGCTGATTCGGTCGCGAAGTGTAGTGTGTTTTCTCTCGTAAAAGTGAATCAATTTGCGTGTAACTACCGGAAGTAGAACGTCACGCAAATAACGCTTCCCAGTAAGCGAAGATGGAGGTCAATATTACACTTTCTAGACCGGAGAGTAGAGAAATGAAGTTGATTGGTGTGTATTGCTATACATAGATGTAGTTCGGATAAGCAGAGTTATGTGATTGATTGGAATGATAAATTGATAAGAAATGTAAACCATTATAGTTGTGAGTTGCTGTACAGCGAATCTATTTACATTTTTCGCTTAAAGTGGTTGATAAAGTTTAACAGATATAAATAATAAAGTGTATGTGTCGTTATATACTAGGTATTGTGAATCATCCTAGTATAAAATCAATGGTAGCGAAGTTGGCATTCTCTATCAATGCTTATGCAGAGACACGTGGCCAGTATAACATCATCTAAAGTGAGTATGGAATTTATATGTATCCAATCAACCCATTTATGGAGGCTGATATCATTCGATGATAATTTTTTTTTTTGCAAATATAAATTTAGTTTCATTATCTGTGAAGCAACTGCAAAGTCTAGAGGGAATCTATATCTGTAACTTTAACCAGTTCGATTTTGTTTGCTAATATGGCTAAAATGTTATATTTAACTATCTTAAAGAGTAATCCAGCTCAAACCTTTGTAGGGACCGTTATCATCAAAATCTAAATTACTAAGAAAATCGTTCTACTTCTTTCCTTTATTTAACGTCGGTCTCTGTTCCGCAATCTAGTGCCAATCACCGACGGACATCGATTGCCATCCATTGACGGCAATCGAATGTGCAGGAAGGCAGCTTCCACACCTGCGTAGGATATTGCACCCATTCAACACACATGGGCCGGGACCAACGGCTTTACTTCCCTTCCGAAGGAAGACGTGACCAGAGATTTTTATGCCTCAGAAAAATCCCACCGACCTCGGCTGGGATTGAACCGGGGTGTTAGAAAGCAGTCACGCTTACCACTACACCACCGGCGCCGGCTAAGAAAATCGTTGTTTTGTTTGCTTGTTCCGATCCGTATTATAAGTTTCGCATGTATTCTATAAAAAACGGTACATACCGATTGAATGAAAATGCGAAACATATTCAGTGACTTGCAACGGTGGGGGTAATATGATTTGTTTGATTTGAGCAAGAAATAATATGGTCTAAGTTTCAGTTTATCCGCTCATGGCTCACATCCCCAAACAAGCCTATAATTATCAAAATGGCTTTAAAACGCTAACATAACCTCAAATGATCAAAATGGGCCTTAAAACGCAAAAAAAAAATGGTCTGACAATGTAAAAATAGCGTTGACTTTCCAAACAGCCTTCGTCAGAATGACCTTAAAATCGCTTCGAAAATTCAGATAATTTTTGCACGGAGTTTTTCAAACATATTATTTACCATGTTACCCACCTAAGGGCAGCTCACGAACCACCGTTGGGTCACAACCCATAGATTGAGAAACGCTGTGCTATACGAACAATTTTCGATTGGGTGCAAGGGTGGACAATTGGGTGAATTGATGTCTTTGGTCACAACATCAAAGTTTTTGTCGTGATATCACTGGGATATGGGACGGTTGGCTATAGTGAGATCGACATAGATCTGATCAGAAGATCACAGTACCAGCGGGTTAAATCACACGATCTTGGTGGCCAGTTGACATCGCCTCCGCGCGATATAACCATGCCCGGAAATCGCTCATGCAGTATATCGATTGTTTCGTGCGCTGTGTGGCACGTTGCACCGTTCTGTTTGAACCACATATCGTTCACATCCATATCGTCCACTTTAGGCCAGAAGAAGTCGGTAATCATCGACCTGTAGCGCTCTTCGTTGACGGTGGAATGCATACCAACCAGTGGCTTTCTGGGGATGCATTCCCGAGCAAAGTTAGAGATCAAATTGAAATCAGAATTTGCTGTTATGATGTAACTTATTTTGAATACTCCATTTGATCTCATTTTGGTTGACTTAACGGTTAACACATCAAAAATGAGAGCAACATTTTACACTGTTGAATCAAACGGAAAACTAATCCTGCTTTCAATGAAATCAATTTGATTACTGATTTTGCATTAATAATGTTTGACTGAATACGGGCCTGGTGCAAATGGTTAGCATCCAAGCTTCTCACGCTGAAAGACTTGAGCTCAAATGTCACCTCGGGTTGGTTACGAATGACCTAAAACGTGTTAAACAAAACAATTAAACAATAATCGTTAGTTCAACGACAGATAAGCTTAACTTAAATTTTAAACAAAACGTTAACAGCAGAACTTCAAGTTAAGTTGCTTTCATTTAAAATGTCTTGACTGCATAATGAAAGCACAATATGATATCAGCCTAATGTCGTGACAATTGTAATCAAAATGAGTATTCATTATGATAGGAACTGCAATCTTTAATATCGATTTGCTTTCATTTTGTTAACCGACTTTGCTCGGGTTGCCACTTGGTAGACCTCGTGTGGATTGGCCTTGTCCCAATTCTGAAATGGGCCTCATCGCTGAAGAAGATTTTTCGGGCAAAATCGGAGTTTGTTTAAAACTGCTCCAAAACCCAATCAGCGAATACACAGCGCTGTCTATGATCGTTAAGCTTCAGCGGCTGGATCAATTGGATCTTGTATTGGTGCAAACCCAAGTCTCGACGCAGAATTCACCAAGTTGAAGATTAGTGAGAGGCCCAGTTCTTGTGCGTGGCGCTGAATCGACTGCCGCGGGTTCTCCTGCACACTTTCGCGTACAGCGGCGATATTCTCGGCAGTCCTTGCGTTCCGTTCACGTGCCCAACCACCGTTCACCGAACCAGTTTCCTAGAATTTGTTCACCACATTGCACATAGTCCTCTCGGTAGGATTATTGCGACCGTAAAATGGGCGAAGCTCTCCGAACGTTGCTCGCAAAGAACACTAACTTTGATAAAACAATTTTATCATTTGCACGTGCTGTTGGACGCTTTAACTCTCCATGGTAATTTGAAAAGACACACTGAATAGAGCTTCAACAATATGGCCCCAATGAACTATCAAAGTTAGAGAATCCCTATTGGAAAATCCTTTTGTTCCTTTCATACGCATGCTCTACGAAATTGCAATTGCCTTTCCAATGCCGAAATACCTTCTCGGTTAAGCATTGCAAGAGCTTCATTTATAATGTTTAAATCCATAAATTATCTTTGCTTGACAGTAGGTATCGGTTCCAACAAAACAATCAGATAGGGGAAATGACGGCTTCGGCATGACAGACTATTTTCGGCAACCCAAATTGAAACACTATTTTCACTGGATTTTCTTACGAAAACGATTCTTTATGCTTTCAGCTTCAATTTGACTGAGAAAAAGCAATCTAGCAAGGTTTTCTTGAAATGCAACACACGCACTAAAAATTGTAGCTGATTTCGAGTTGCCGATAATAGAACAGCAGATTTACATGCAGTTCAAATGGAACGGTTGCCGAAGAAAAACTGATTGCCGACAATACTCGCTCTCACTAGAGAAGATTGGAGCTTTGTAAAAGCGTTTCAAAACAGTTTTTGACAATTCTTTCGACTGAAATTGTTAGAGCAGCTGGCAGCAAAAGATTGTGAACAAACCAATACTGCATTTGTGTGCGTTCCTTAGAGAAAAAGGCTAAAGAAAGAAGGTCGCTGCTTAGGTTGCCGAGAATACGTAAATTCCCCTATGTGTAAATGATGTTGAGCAACGTGAGTTGCTCAGACTTACTCAAAATCTAAGAGGAAGAAGAGACAATAGGGGGACTTTTATGAACAAATTTACTGTCAAACGCGAACCAGCGCCTGATTGGTCGGGCGAATGTATAGAAACGCGAGAATTTGTTCTTGTATTTTGACAGCCGACTGCGTCGCCCATAATGAAATAGTTTTTGCACCGTCGGTAGAAGCCAGTTGTCTCCACTTCCTCTTAGCTCAAAATTAACTAAGATTTTAGTCATGATCAAAAGCTGTCTTGCACCAAGTTGTGCCTAAATGTAGGCAATTTCTTTAAAAATCACTGTAAATTTCACAAAAAAACTTGATTTCTCAATATTAAAAAATTCTATTCTACCAAAATTGTTTTAATAAATCAGATTCATTGACACTTAGTTTAATGAAATATACAACTTTCAAGATGAGGACAACAATCGTTGTAACCCTGTGAAAGTTTGTTTAAATGCTGATATTGAATGTTATTAAACGTCATTTAAAAAAATAAATTTATGCAGTAAAATCAACTTTATGAAAAATTCGTCAAAGTGATTATTTGAGTCTCACGATGAAATGCTGTCATCATTTCTCTTGATATCCCTCATCGAAAATTGTCTACGTGACAACTAAAGACGTAATCTGAAATAATCAATTTCATTCCGGTGATCAGTTTTGGTGTCGTAAGTGAAAAATTTGTGTTTATTCTCAGCAAAATACTTGAGAAGACGTTTGAATCCGTTCAAGGTTTCATCCCAACGGCCAATTTGAAGTTAAATCTTTAATTTAAAAAAGTTCAAAAGTTGCGTCCGAAGAGCATGGAAATCGGAAGTGGTTTCCACAATAGAGGGGACCTTTTCCTTCTTGACATTATGCCGAGAAATTTTAGTGGAATTTTTTCTGGAGTATGGATCATTCGCATCATCAGTGAGCAAAAAAAATTCCCCTTCTGATCAAATTAATTTCAGTATCAAAGGTTCATGTTAAATCTTTAATTTAAAAAAGTTCAAAAGTTGCGTCCGAAGAGCATGGAAATCGGAAGTGGTTTCCACAATAGAGGGGACCTTTTCCTTCTTGACATTATGCCGAGAAATTTTAGTGGAATTTTTTCTGGAGTATGGATCATTCGCATCATCAGTGAGCATGTACAGTATGAAATCAGACTTCTGTCGCGACAATTGAAATCAAAATGAGTTATGATAGGAGCTGCAAACTTTAATATCAATATCGATTTGCTTTCATTTTGTTAACCGTAGGGTAGGGAAACAATAGAAACAATAGATCATTTTCTAGAATTTGGAGCAGGAGTTTCTCTACGTACACCATTGGAAAGTAAATTCTATGCCAAATCTTAAAATGTACTGACTATGCGAACAGAAACTACTGAAACACTACACTCATTACAACAGCAGGTCCCTTGATATTAGAGTATTAAAGTGTTTCCTTGTAGAGTCCTTTTTCTTTTTACACTTTGCAATATTCTCCTTCTTACTCTTCTTAGCATTTCAAGTTTATTGCTTATCGCATATCAGCTTATTTTGTGTTCTCAACTTAGTGTACTAGATACAGTTCCAAAGTTATTAATTGAGAGCTTTCGATGCCTGTACCATTTTTTGCATTAGTATAATTGTGTGGCAAGTACAATCATATACTCAGAGAAGTCGAGAAATTTTGCAACGCGAAAAATTCCTAGACGGTACCGGGGAATCGCTTGCTTT